TGTGTTACATGTTTACTGACAGATGCTATTTGCCAATAAAAGGATGTATTGTTCTACTGGTAACCTAAGAAGTGTTTGTTATTTTTTAACAACAAAAATTTCATTTAATCTTAAATATATAACCCCAATACACAAGTTAAGTATCAATGTTTATATGCTTAAAAAAATAGAACAAGTCTCAGAAAAGTTAAAATCATAAGACTTGTCTAGTCCAAAATTGACATAGCCAAAACTAATGCAAAATTTATTACACATTCCTTAATAACTTGTTATTAATGCTTTAATGACAATAGAGAGGATTCTGGTTATTTTTCTGATGGTTTTTACTTTTGAAAAATAAGATGTCACATATTGAGACTGTGTGACATTACTATAGCTACTGTTGGAATTTATACATGGATGTTCTGTGTTAATTTTTCTTTGCCTCATGATAAAAGCTCAATTAAAGGGCTAATTCTCTAACTTATTTCCAAAATAAACCTGAGATCAATTGTTTTCAATACCAAATAAAAACATTACAATGTGAAATGTTACCACCTCAGGTCCAGAGGCTCCTACTCAATTACAAAAGAACACCTCTCCACTGCTTATCATTGAAAAAGGTTTTCTCCATATTCAATTTTTATTTTATCCTCTCCAAGCTATTTTTCTAGACTCTCTAAATGTGCTTTTCTTGTCTTACTGATGTTTTTCCCTGTTTATCATTTTGGTAGACCTTAAAAAAATAAAGTTTAATACATCACTTTGAGTTTTCCAGTTATCCATATATATTATACCTGGACCACAAAACCCTCCAACATTCCCACAACTTCCAGCAAATCCAAATCACAATTCTCAGTGCAAAGCCCTTCTGGCTTGTTTTCCCAACTTGGTTTTCCGTGTGGGAACAATTTTTTGTGTACAAAATAAATTCATTTTATTCTATCCAGAATAGAGTTGCAATTGCAGAATAGCAGATAACGTTCATCAGATTCAGTACAATTTTGAAAAACATAGTTTTTTTTCCCTTTTCATCTCTTTTCCTCTCTTCTAACTTCCTTCTTATCTCTGTATCCATGCCACCTTCTCTGAACCAGATCCCAGTGGTACTGGAGGCCATAGGGGTCATGAACTCTTGTTCTGACCTTGTCCATCTGTGAACTCTGGATGAACTCTATTGAGCAGTGCAGCCAAGCAAGGGATATAGAATGAATTCTATCCTCCTCTGACCTCTAATTCTTTCTTCATTAAATGGGTACTAACATTTGCAAATATAAAATAAGAAAGGCATATAGAAGAAAAAAAGGATGATTTTATGTTTAGAAAACAAAGAAGTATTTCAAAATATCAACTCTTTTTCAAACATGTTGAAAACTCTTTTTCAAACATGAGATACTTTTCCTTATCCCTCTATGAGGTAGGCATAAATAAATGCAGAGAAACCATAAAAATCAATTTGTCACATAATGATAGTTTCTTCTAGAATAGAGCTCTCAGGAAGTCATTGAAATAGGGTATTTGGTTCAGGTCATTTTTACTTTTCATTGAGAGCAAATCAATTCAATTCCTTTAAATTGTTGGTCAATGTTTTTCAGTTATTCCACAACTATCTATTAAGTTAGCAGGAGAATCACAAGTTAAACTTTTTGGGCAAACAACCATGAGTAAAGATAGTCTCCATACTTAGCAAACGGACACGAATAAAAAAGACAGAAGCAAATAATTACAGTGCTGTGTGTAGCAACAATATGGACATGTACTGGATTTGTACAGGCAGCCCTCATTGATATCCATGGAGATTGTCAAAGAAAATACCACAGAACAAACATTTTAATAAAACCAGGAAGGAATGGTAAGGCCAAAGTGGGCAAATCAAGAGACATGGGAAGGAAAGACACCCCAAGCAATAAGCTAGGAGTTACAAAGGAGCATGCTCTGTGAGTGTCAGGGCATATACCTAGGATCCAGTCCTTAAATGAAAGTGAATCATGCTTATCTTGGGGTTCATTTCATCTAACATCAACTTATCTGACCTTTTCTGCTTGACTCAGACATATACTAGTTATTGCAAATAAGGGAAACCATAGGACCTATATTTCTTTGGCCCTGTCTTACTTCACTTAATATAAATTTTTCCAAGTCTTTCCATTTCCTAACAAATGGGGCAATGTCATTCTTTCTGATGGAGGCATAGAATTCCCTTGTGTATATATAACAAATGAACCCCAAGATAAGTATTCAAATGTTTTTTCTTTCATGCAATTGTTTCTAACATATTTATAAGATGAGTTCTTTGTTGCTTTGTATCTCCCTCCCCCATGGTATAACCCCTGCTTTCACTGTATTTGTTGTTGGTATAATTTGTGGAGGGGAAGGGAAAAAACAAATCATAGGGATAAATAGGGATACAGGTAGACCCATTGCAACAATGAGATGTACAAGTCATTATGTCGAAAAATGAACTTTACAACTTTGGCGGGGAGAGGGGGGAGATAGGAAGGGATGGGAAGGAATGGGAAGGGGAAACAAAGGAGGAGTCTACAATGCTTGATAAGAAATGTACTCATTATCGTGCCCATGTAATTGCAACCCCTCTGTTCACTATTTTCACAATATAAAAAAAAAGTGAATCATGCTTCAGTTGAGGATGGTAAGACAAGACAGTTTAAAGAACTTCTCTAGAGAATCCAGTGAGGAACAAAATTTTAGCTCCATGAATTCTAATTCCTTTGTCTGTGTTCCTATGTAAGCCTTATTCTACCTAGCAGCAGCATGCACTGGTTGTTTAACCCTTTCTTTACTTGACTTCCAAACCATCTCATCCACTTGGTTTTCTGCTATATTTTCAATGTCTTGAAAGATCATGGAAAAATAGTATATAGTATAATCAACAGGGGCTGGGAAGGTGGCTCAGTGGTAGAGCACTTGCCTTGCATGCATGAGGCCCTGGGTTCGATTCCTCAGCACCACATAAGCAAAAAGAAAAAAGCCGGAAGTGGTGCTGTGGCTCAAGTGGAAGAGTTGAGAGACAGCGCCCAAGCCCCAGAGTTCAGGCCCCACAACCGGACCCCCCAAAAAAATAAAAAAGAAAGAAGTAATCAACATTTATGAGTGCTTGGTTTTGATTCTATTGCCTTAATCAATACATTGGAAATTATTTTTTCAAAGTGTTCTAGTCTGAGATCTAAAGAATTAATAATGTACTAAATTAGGCAATATATTACAAAATCTCCATTTCAAAATTGACTAAGCTTTTGAACAAAAGTTCAACTTGCTTTAAAAAATATTTATCTGGAATTCAAATTCACCCACTAGATTAGGTCAATATTGGGAGAGGGTATGACTTTTGAGAAGTAAAAATTGAAGATCAAGAGTCTGCTTTATGTTTTGCATTGTTTTTGTTGCATTGTTTTGTTGTGCTGGGGATGGGACAGAAGGCCTCACTCCTGTAGTAAAGAGCTTCACCACTGAGTAACCTCAGTCTGTAAAAGGTTACTTACAGCAAATTCTAAATCTTATTTTTGTCCTAGTTTCAAAGATTTCAACCTAATTTTTTTTAAATAACTTCAAAGTGAAGTCATATGTGATCAAAGAGTAAGCAAGAATTATGAGAAAAGTCAGAGGTAAAATAGCCACATTGTATACAGAGGATGACCTAATCCATCCCTGTATCAGCTGACAGATATTCTCCCTTCTGGCATCTTACATTATTCCTTTGGGTGAAAATATTAGGTTCTGAATAACAGTTAACAAATATGATGGAGGGTTATTCTTCAATCACTTCAAAACTGGAATATCTATTATTACTATTATTAATAGTGCAATATTAATAATAATAATTATCATGATAGCATTGACATTCCTTTAAGTATTATAGATCACTATTCTATCACTTAAATAATAGTATTTTTAGCAATAAAATACCTTGAGCTGCATTTTTATGAAATTATCATTCACATTTTTTCTTTCATTTGATTTTTCTTTACCCATTTTCCTACATTATTAGTTATTGTTAATTCTTATTCTTTAAATGATAATAAAAGTAATATAAAGAAATATCTAATGCATTTATTAGAAAACTTTCAAGAGAAACCATGATCAAAAACCAATAGGCTTGTATTTGGTCCACTCCACTGGTAAAGCCATTCCCTCTGTCCTGAGCAGCTCCTATTCTAACCCAGCCCAATAACATTCATGCCAGCATAGAGAGGCACTCCAGGTATCATCCTACCACAGCCTAGAGTCTTCAGAATAACTATTATCCTTGTCCTGAGAACCTGTAAATTTGAGCAACCACCACATTTGCAATGAGGTTCAAATCATGTGTTTGTTCCAACAGAAAAATCTAACAAAATGTTATACTTCTGTATTTATATCTTTGTACACAATATGGACCTGTGAAATTTTTCATGCTTTCTTAGATTGTACAAAGGGTTCACATGCTTCATTGAGTGGTACATAATCCAGGCTCATTAAACTTTTCTAAAACCCTCATAAAATAATCCATAACCCTGGTTTTGTTCAAATCTATCTTACATTTGTATCACCTGTTATTTGCACACACTATGCTAGACATTTTTCTCTGGAAGAGAGAAAGTGGGAAGATAAACATTTTAGGTAACATAGAACAGAAAAATGAAGCCCTTTGATGCCCTATCTTATTGGGTTAATAATCATGCCTTCTTCCTGTATCTGTAGGGACCATCCTTCCAATTTTTTAAATTGTCATGAACCAATTTACACAAGATCAGCAGTCTAAATGGATTATGAGTACTGTTTGTTGCTAACTTCCAAATTTCAACTAAATTCAACATTTTTAACAACTTGTTGGGATTTTTTGGGGGGTTTGGTTTGACTTGTTTGGTCTTATTCTTATGGTTGCATTGTATTGTGGCTGTTTGTCTTAACGAGTGGGCTCGTTTACAGACAATGTTTCCCTCCGTAAAGATGGCCTTTATGAACAGGACGGGTTTGCACTTGGCAACAGTAATTTACTTAATTTATCTTAAATTTGGTTTCAGTGAGCAACCCTAATTAACCTGATTTTTTGCTGATAATCACTGTCAATGGAATCAAATCACAAATCCGGGGATGGATTGAGCGGCACCCAGAAGGAAGCGGCCCTCCGCGCACTGGTCCAGCGCACAGGATATAGCTTGGTCCAGGTAGGAATTTCTTGTGAAGTCTGCTAAGATTCGTCACTGAACTCACAGCACAGTGGGACTCGTAGCATTCTCAGAGGTAAAACATGCAGAGTCGGTTAGGCAACTCGTCAGATAGATTTCTCTTTACTGAAAAGAAAAAAATTGTCTCTTGTCAGTTTTGTAGGTAGCCTTGATGGTGTTGATCCTATGATGTGTTATCTAGTCAAACATAAACATGCAATTTGAAAACAGAATCAGTACCTAAAGCCTGAGAGATTGTCACCACTGCCAAAGAGTGTCTTAAAATACGAAAAGGCAGGTGGGATTTTCAGTTCTTGGAGATGAAGAAATCATGTTTCAAGCACTGGCAGAGAACAAGCTCCTCAGGAAGGAACTTTGGTTTCCAAAGAGATCATTACAAATATAGGAATACTTCTAGATGAGAGTGGGGGGTAGGGGAAAGAACTTTGCGAGTCTCATGATTTGTTTGTTTGCTAGAAGTAGACACTAATCCAGTCTAAAATATATTACCTTAACTTTTGTCCATAGTAGAACATTTGGAAAAGAAAACAAGACTGGTCAAACCATTCATAGATATTCGTTCTTAGGAATTATCTGTAGTTCCTTTAAAGAATATATGCTGCACTAAATAGCAAAGTAGTGTTATCCTATTAGAACAAATAATATTGCTCATTTTCTAGTAAGAGAATTTATCTTAATCTTTCAACGGTGCCTTTCTACCTTAAACAAATTTAGGTGCCACTATGAATAAAAGTGCCATGTGATTAATAGTAAAATATGTAGCAGGATCCTTTCATTATATTTGTCAGATTGCTAATCATACTACATTCCATTTCCAACTAATTTTATTAACCATAATATGCTTTGTTATGCATAATCCAATGCTCAACATTATTTATATTCACACAATGAAGAGTGCTACTTTACACTTTCTTAAGATTTTAAAAACCCTATTATTTCATGTTTAACTTTTTCAAGTTTTATTTAAATCAAAGGAGACACTAATGTATTTATTTCAATAGTTAATGAATGTTAAAATATTTTATAATCATCAGTAATCATTTAATGTTTTCTTCTCTAAAATCCATATGCCACAAGTAAATAATTTAAAAGTTTTGGGTAGCTTTTCACTCTGCTTAAAGGAGTATTTTCTAATCAGTAGAGAAAATTCTATAGAATATGTAATCTACAAAATAAGTATATTTAACTTTATTTTTAATGTCTGGTATAGTTAAATGCAAAGAGCGAGTTTCCTTTCCTTTGGCAACAATGCTTCTATAATATTTTATAAAATAAAACATGTTTTTAAATAAGATCTTTTTTTATTTTTATCTTCCTAACATCTAAAATATACCAGTTGCAAGGGCTGTGGTAGGAGAAAGCATTTCAAAGCTTTTAAAAGCCATATACCACTCTTCATATATCTAAGGTGCTTCACGTCTCTTATTTTCCAGTCATAGAGACTAAGTATGGACAAACCTATCTAGAGCAAACTTTCGATTACCTAGCCATCACAAACCTAAAGTTTAAAAACAAGGAAATTATGAAGTGAACTCAATAGAGGTGTTTTTTAAATCAGTATGTCCAACAAATAGAATCTAAGGGAAATAATCTTGAAATGTTAAAGATTACCCATTTTTCTTTATTCTGATGCTGGCTCTTCCTTTTACCCCAAAATAAAATTCAGGGCAAGTTTCATGACTTTCCACTATTAAAAGTTTTTTTTTAACTGAAACATTAATTAATCCTAGTACAATTATTTTTTTTAAAAAATCACCATTTCCCTTCTTCATGCACATCAGAGTGGAGAGTGATTTTGATAATCTTGACATATGTTTCTGCTCCAGCTTGCTAGCTACAGTTTCTGACTTGGATATGAAACACAGAGAGAGAGGGAGAGAGAAAAGGTAAAAGCAGGGAAGGGAGTGGATATAGAGGTTTAAGCCTGTAATTCCAATATTGTAGCAGATCAATCTTAAATTCCAAGCCAGCCTGTACTGCATAGATAGACCCCCATCTCAAACTAAACAAAAGAGAACTAAGAGCAAAGGAGAAAAAGTCAAAAAAGTTTGTTTGTTTTTTTTCCTTTGCCAAAGGGAAGGAAAGTTTTTACTTCACTAGTTCTAGCATTGGCTCTCTGGACCTGATAAGTATTGAAAGCGTGTGGTATAGTTTATAGGATTTTTAGACTTCTACTGAAGACTTGGCTGCACTTTTCTCTGACTCAACTTCTTTCTTCTGAGCTCCTTTAGGCACTAGGCAGTGGATTTTCGAGAGGATGAAAGATAACATTTGGTTTCTCTATGTAATCCAGCCTTAGTTTCCGGGAGACACACATATATTGCTTATCTTGGTAAATCTACAGGTATAGATAGCACAAAGCAACCTCCTAGCTTCCAGAATATTAGAACAGCATTTTTAAGGATTAACATATGAGAGCCATACCAAAGGTGGAGTACCAAGGCCCCTTCACCACTCACCTGAAGATAACTCAGGACCATTCCCCAGTTTAACGGCTGGGAGCACATTTTCTATGTGTTGTTCTTACCATTCTTCCCCTGCTTTACATAAAATAAAAGGCACTTCCCAATTCCTCCTTCCAAACATCTTTGTGTAAATCCTAAAGACTCTTTTCAAGTGTTTCACTAAGCTTTGCTAAGCTGCTAGGATATAAGGAAGTAAAAATACAAAAAGGGCTTTCTTCTATCTCTTCATCCTCCTGTGGGCAAGGACCCTATGTATATCACTGAGGTAATTTATCTCAGTGCATAAACCAGAGGCCCAAACTCACTCTTAAAATCCTCTTAAAATAAAATCATACCCAGTTACTAACAGCGATCATTTAAAAAATTCTGCAGGACAGGAAATTGTGACCCCTCATTTTCAAATTATAAGAAAGTTTGCAAATTTATTTTTTAAAGAGAGTCAATACTAAAGATTCATAAAAAATTTTACCCCAGTAAAAAAAACCTCATAGCTATGATTTAAGACTATTTTCATAAGAGAAAAAATAGAAACTATAATTTAAAATGGTTTCATATAAAATACTCCTAAACTATATAGCCAATTTGTATGATACTTTCATCTATATATTCTATAAACTCAAAAATGTTAATAATTAGGATTTAGCTCATAAGTTAATTGTAATCATAAAACCAACAAAATAATAGTAAACATTTATTGGGCATTCTCGTCCTATCTGTTCTGTGTATATTACTTCTTTTAATCCTTACTAACACACAATGAGATAGCTCCTAGGATCATTTACAATGCCTAATGAGAAAAACAATGTCAAAAGTTTATATAACATAGAGGATTTATAAGCCATGATTCCATTTTTTTTGGCCCAAATTTCTGGCCAGCTTGAGAAAATTAAAAGCTGCTATATTGTAATCTTTAAGATTGTAATTTTAGAGATTAGCATATCAAGGTGTGCCAAAAATGTCTTAATATTTGAGTCCAAATTTTGTAACGAGTCATGTTAATATTTACTAGAAGAATTACTTTTGGATCACAATTTCTCTAATAACATAGAAACTTAAAATTTCAAAAGCTAGTATTTGAAACTAAAATCTCTAATAAAAATGTAAATATATACATGATGAAATAATTTTGAGTGAGTTAAAAATCCCTTCTAATTTGTATTGGAAAATGTGGTAAATTGTCCATGATTTCCAATTAGAAGAGCTACAATCTAGCCTGTTCCTCACCACATACAAGTTGTATGATCTTGAACAGGTGCTTTAACTACTTTGGTCCTTAATTTCCCAAAAGATGAGCAAGTTCCTTACCCCACTCTATCAGCTATGATTTTGTGATTCTTTGTACTTGGAATCTAGATAACTCATAGTGAAAGAATAAACTTAGGCATGTGTCAAGACACAACTTCAATAGTTGAATTTAAGAAAAAATAATTCTTTAGTCTCAATTCTTCTATCCTCTTTCTCTGAATTATAAGAAAGATGAAGGTGGTTATCAAAATTGAAAGAAGGCAGCATCAGCATCTGCTTTACAGTTTTAAAAACCTCACTCTGTACAAAAGTGAAGATGAAGAGCATCTCAATCTATAAATGAGGGTTTAGAATTTTGGAATTTGCTACTTACATTCCAAAGGATTTACTTTTGCTATGTCTTTGAAGTCTCCGATATTAAATGTTGGATTCTTGCTAAACAAGAATTTGAAACACAGGGTAATGAATTTGTGCTCTCTTATCACTAGCAGGACAAATACAACTACCAAAAATAGCATTTTGCAAGTTACTTAATAACATGAGTTAGTTTTTCACATGGCAACTACTACAATAACACATACTTGTCATACTTGTGAGAGTTTAAACACAAGTTTGGAGTCTTTATAAATGGAATATTTTGGTAATTGATGACTAAATTTTTTTCATCAAAGGATTTCAGAGTGTAACACAGGCCCTAACTTGCATACAGTAAGCATTCAATAAATACCACTGATAAACAGTTGACAACTGAACCTTGTTAGGTAAATTAAATTGGCAGCCGAGAAAGAGAGTAGGTATTCAGGCAAGTGAAAGGTTTATTTGTAGGCTTCCTCTAGTCAAGTTGGAAGCCCATGCAGCAGCAATAAAAAGGCTAAACCAGAGGCTGGCAGCGATTTACCAAGGCCAGGGGCAGGAGAAGGTGTGGCCACACCCAATGTGGATGTGAACTGAGAGGGGGGTAGGGGAGGGAGAAGGTCACTGCCTCCAAGTGTGCCACTTACCTAGGTGATGCAGGTACTGTGTGGAGACTTAACCAAGAGGAGGGAGGAGGAGTCTGCTCCACCTTCCCAGAGCCAACCTTACAAACCTTGGTATTTGTACAATGCCATAGAGAAATGAGCTACAGTGTTAACATGCAAACAGTCTTTGAGTCTGAATAATGGAATTATTTTTGTGAGGTTTTGTTCTTTTTTTAAAATTCCTAATGGTATTTCTCAGACTTTCTAAAGCTAGTGTGCATTTATTTGATAGTTAAAGAAAAAGAAAAGA